CTTTTTAATTTTTTCTTTGATAGACAATATCAATAGAACTCTTTTGGCGGTAAGATTGTTGTTTTTGTGTTTGTTGTTTTAATCATCAATTAACATAAATAACATATATCGCATGTTGTTTTTATCTTCAGTTTTCAAATTCATCATATCCAGTTTTAAAAGTTATCTAACTAATTTGTTTCTCATTTAGTTTACGTAAAATGATAAAACTTTAATATTTAGTCCAATTAAAAATTAATTTCAGTAAATTTTTTAGAATTTTAAAATTTATGAACAAAAAACAAGTTATTTCTTAAAAAATAATTTCGGAAAGTTAAAAATATGCAAAAATGAATATAGAAGTATGCATCAAAGAAAAAAATTCGATAATTTCTTTTAAGATTTCGATTGAAAGAGAAAAAAGAAGTCCCTGGGCAAAGTAAAATTCGGGAGCTATCATCGATTTTATAGTTATAGGTGTAAATTCTCTTCTAATAATTAGTTTTCTGAATCGCTCAAAATGAAAATCCTCGCCTTAAGTTCCAATTGTTCATGCGATTTCCTGCCAATTTTGAGAAATCTTAACTAAAATTATTAATTGTAACAATAGCTCATTTCGAAGAAGCAAACAAAAATTACTAGTTGACATTGACACCCAATTTTTTTAAAAAAAAGTTTAAAACAATGTTCAATTTTATAAAGAATTATTAAAATAATTGAATATTCATTTAATAGTAATTTATATTTAGTTTTTCTTTTGCATCACATTTTTTTTACTAAAAGTGATAAAAACAAAGATAAAAGAAAGCTATTGTTTTTTCACATTCTAATTGTCCAGGTAAATGTGAAAATTTACGGAACATGTACAAAAGCGGCTAAACCGCGCCAAACACAAATTATTATTTCGTTCTAACATAAACGTAAGTTCGTTATTAGAGAGGTTTAGCTCTTTCGCGTAATATCTCGCAACGCTTACGCACTTTTAATTTGTGATTCTGTGCAGTGCAGGTACTTCAAATAATCTGGATTCACTTTATTTATGTACGTGAACGAGCAAGAGGCTAAAGCTTTCTATTTTATAGCAAAATCGAACTATGTATTGAGCGCAAATAAATAAATAAACAAAGCGAACACTGTTAGATCAAACAATCGGATTTTCGCAAGACTCAATTTGAATGGTTCGATAGCTTAACTTTAAGTATGCGAAATAATTAGAGTAGTGTAAAAGCAGACGATATGAAGAGTCAAGAAATTTCCCCCACAAAAACTTACTTGCTTTGAATAAAAAAAATTTTTTCAACTTATAGATTCTTGACCCTTAAAATAATGGGGATAGCTGCAATCTGGAGAAAAAAAAATGGTCCCAACAATGTAGTCAGAACCTTCTCATGTTTGCAATTTTCAGTTATACACAGGGCTGACGATTCTAAGGTTGCTCAGTAATGATCAGTAATCTCTTAATTTATTCATTTTCTTGTGCGTCAGACATAGTTTAATGCATTTTTTGTCAGTATACCTGGCCTAGTAATTACGATTTTTGTCTGACTTTATTACTATCTACATTTAGTCATGTAATATTGAAATGCATTTTCCTCACATTTTAATTTTCAAACTTCGTAGTTTACTTTGATTTTTTGTTTGTTATTTCAAGAAATATCATTTTCTTCGGATTTTCATTTTCTCTATAATAATTTTTACTCCTTGGTCCTTGTTATTTTTCAAACATTTTTAAGCTAAATGGGACTTTTTGTTTATTTTTGTGATTAACATTGTAACCCGTAACTCTGAATTCTAATTAATAAAATACTAAGTCTTCATGAAAACTATGTAATAATTTTTAAAAGTACAAAAAATTTTTCAGATTTATTTCTTGTTTAATTGTAAATATTTTTTTAAAATTTCATTTTCATCGGATTTTAGCTTTTACGTTGTTTATGTTAATGATATTTTTGTAAATTGTTTTCTCTAAATTTTGTTAGAATAATTTAAAGTCATTAAATATATTTCATTAAATTTATACTTGAAGTTTTTTAAGTATTTTAAAAGTATATAACATAATTTCCCAATATCATTAGGTTTTTCAAAAAAAAATTTTTAAATTTTCATTAGTCTTTTTCGCTATCCAGCTACCCAATTTTGTTTTGAATAGCTATAATTCGAAAAATAACATTACATTGCTAAGTTAAAAAAAATAATAATAACCATGTAACCTTTAATACACAATAAAAGTTTGGTTGTAATTTTAGAATTAACGATGTGTTTAAATTATACTTCTGTAAATAAGAAACATATTTAAATATGGCACGCTGGACGATATACAGTGGTGGCCAAAAGTGTGGACACTTTTTGAAAGTTTCATGTTTTTCAACTTTGTGTGCTTGTAGAATATATTAATTTTCACTTAAATACAAACGTTTATATATCAAATTGAAGGTAATTTAATGTAGAATTTAATAATAAATACAGTATTACAATATCTGTATTACAAAAAAAGTTAGGCAATTAATAGTAAGATCTATCCTAGATTTGCATTTTTTTAAAGTGATACTTACACAATCAATACTTAGTAGGATAACCCTTAATTTTTAAGACAGCTTCACAGCGTCTTTTCATCGAGTGAACGAGTGTTTGGAGTTCATCTTTCGTAATCACATGGTGCCAAGAATCAATTATAGCTTCAATAAGTTGTCTTTTATAGGATGAACGTTTTTATCGTACAAGAATTTTCAAACGTCGCCACAAATTTTCAATTGGATTGAGATCAGGGCTGTTTCCTGGCCATGGTAATATATCTATACCTTTATTTTGAAAGCATCCTTTGCATACTTTTGCTGTGTGGCATGGAGCTGAATCCCGCTGAAAAATAAATGGATAAATGGTGCGTTGTTGGAGAAGAGATCCCTGATGGAAGGTATCAATTTTGGTTACAGGGCAGCTTCGATGTATTTTTTCGTTCACTCGATGAAAAGACGCTGTGAAGCTGTCTTAAAAATTAAAGGTTATCCTACTAAGTATTGATTGTGTAAGTATCACTTTAAAAAAATGCAAATCTAAGATAGATCTTACTATTAATTGCATAACTTTTTTGTAATACAGATATTGTAATACTGTATTATTATTAAATTCTACATTAAATTACCTTCAATTTGATATATAAAAGTTTGTATTTAAGTGAAAATTAATATATTCTACAAGCGCACAAAGTTGAAAAACATGAAACTTTCAAAAAGTGTCCCCACCACTGTATATGTCACGGCGAAAGACCGAAATCGGTGGTTGTTGACTTTCACCGGTGAATGTCGACAAACACCAAATACGTCGGTGAAAGATCGATTATTTCATTACATTCGGACCCTCACCGGTGTATGTCGACAATCACAGATATGCTTTGGTGAATGTCCGAAATATTTATTACATTCGATTTGATATGAATTTATTCGTGGATATAATTACATTTACTTGATATTTTAACCCTACACTGATTTTTTTTAAGGTTAAGTGCCACTGCCCGGTATACCCTACACTGAGGGTTTTTTAAGGTTAAGTGCCACTGTCTGGTATACATTTTCCCATTATACCCTACACTGATGTTTTTTAAAGGTTTAGTGCCACTGCCCGGTATGCATTTCCCCGGTATACCCTACACTGATGTTTTTTTAAGGTTAAGTGCCACTGCCTGGTATACATTTGCCCATTATACCCTACACTGATGTTTTTTAAAGGTTTAGGGCCACTGCCCGGTATACATTTCCCCGGTATACCCTACACTGATGTTTTTTTTAAGGTCAAGTGCCATTGCCCGGTATATATTTGCCCGATACTCCAAGCACTGATGTTTCTTCTAATCTATCGTCAGTAAATAATAAAATATAGAATAAATATATCAAATAATTGTAATAATATTAACGAATAAATTAATATAAAATTGGATATAACAAATATTTCGGAACTATGTGATTGTTGACATTCACCGGTGAGAGTCAGAAATAAGGGTGTTTAGCAAACATTTCGGACATACACCAAGCGACTACGTGAATGTTGACATTCACCGGTGAATGTCGACATTCTCCAGATTTCGGTGTTTCACCGTAACATATATTTTAATTTTTGTACAATATGTATGTGTTTTTCCTTTTATGTAAACGTAATTTTTACTTTAGAATAAACCAGAGAAATCAGATAGCTTTCTAAAATTAAAAGTCATTTTAAAATGAAAATTAATTCCTTCATTTGTTTTAATTTTTTTCATTCCTTGTCCTTTATCATGAAAATTTAATAAATATTTCACCTTGGAATAAAGCAGAAAAATCAGAAGACTTGTTATAAAATAAAATTCAATTTGAGAAATCAACCTCTTTTACGTCCTTTCTTTGTTTCATTTTTTTATACCTTGTGCTTTATCATTAAAATTAAATTGATATCATAAATTTAATTCTTATTTTTTGTATATTGAAAATTTACATTCGAGATTAAATTTAAATCTAAATGCAAATCACAAATTATTCTTGATTCAATATGTTTTAGTGGAGCAAAAAAACATTTCATGTCATTATGATTAGAATGCATCTATAAAATGTGTTGCTCAACATTAACAAATTTAAAAGAGTAAAATTACAAAAGTAATTAAATTTTAATTCACTTTTTTTTTAAATTTGTTTTCGATTAATAAATCATTTTTGTTAACTAATTTGTTGGTGAGAACATAATAGTTAAATCATAGTCATAAACAACGGAAATAATTTAAATAATTACAATAAGTTAATTACAATATAAATAATACAACTAATTTTTAAATATTAGATCGGCCAAAGTTTATGACTTTGCATTGGCTCGCCCCCCCCCCAGTCAAAAAAAAGTTGGCACGCCACTGATAACATATATACCATACAATAAAAAATTTTACTACGGTTTAACTCTTATGCGAGCATAATAATGCACTTCAGAATTCCAGGAATGGGATTAACATGAAGGCAAAATATTAATTTAAAAATTTTTTTTAAATAATAAATACAGTAACATACCTTGCGATTTTTCACAGAAAATTCACTATCACACACATAACAATGAGTTGCTGACTCATACTGATGTGTTTGTTTTTTAGTTAATGATTTCATTGGCCGCGGTTTATTATATTTTTCATAGATGATAAGTGCTTCCTCCCGCATTTTCTCCATAAATATTTTCGCTGCATCTCTTCCACGATAAACATAAGGTGGTTTATTAAGTCCATCAATGCCACAAACAAAATAACAAAAACTGATGGGTTCATGTTTCTGATATTTTTCAGTAAACGACGCACCTGGAGACGGCCCACAAGAGTCTATGGGTTTCAGTAAGCTCTCCAAATCCGCATATATTACAAAGGGAACTCGCTGAGTATGCTTTACGTTTTTAAACTTAAGCCATTTATCTGTCGGCATTTTCACTCGCACAGCTTCGCGCTGATTGCAGCTCACTTCATGCCTCGTAAGTATATCATTTGTCGTAAAAAACTGCAAACACCTTCGGCAAATATACTTTCTTCCATTATGTCGAGAATACTGAGGAGATAACAGCCGTGAGAGGTGTTTTATCCAGCAGAAATGAAAATCGGTTTCAGTTATCAAATATAAAAGATCAACATGCTGAGGTTTTTTTTGTTCTGTGAGAATTAGAGGAAACACTTCATTTTTTTCATCCAGTCCATACACATTAATTGAGATGTCATTTAACTTTTCGAACTCTTTCACATCTTGCAGTTTAACGGGGAAGGGAATGTTCGAAAAATTCAGTGTGTTTGCAAACGGTCTGTAGTGAGAAATTCTATTTGGATTCGCTTGCGGGGGATGTAGAGCAGAAAGAATTGCCCACTTGAAGCATTCATTATCATCATTTTTAACATTAACAACTGCCACTTTATTATTAATAACAGGTGGAAGCGAGATGAATCCCGAAGCCCGTAAAGGATTATATTTATTGAAGCGGATTTCAAATGCAATGATTTCATCCAATGACCAACCTGAATCCCTTGTTTTAAAGTCTTCTGCTTCGGTCAACAGTTTGCTCATAATACTTGAATAAAACTCTTCTAAATCAGTTGATAGTAGAATCAGAGTGTTTTTAGTTTCAAAATTCTTTTCCTCGCGCACTATTTTATCATTTGTAACTTTCTTGTAAAGACCCGTTAATCTACAATTCACTTTCAAATCTTGGATTTGCATCTTCTTTGTCACCTCAGCATTGAATGTTTGTTGATTGGATAAAAGAAATTCTTCTATATCCAAAAAGTTTACGTTTGTTAAGTAGATTGTTTTCACATAGCCATTTAAAGCCGATTTAAAGTAGGTCGAAGGCGAATCAGAAGCAGTACTTGTTGATGGTCGACTCAACAGCTCTGAAGAATCTTGATTGGCTCCATTCTTCTTATATCTTTTAGGCGATAATGAAATACTTGAAGTTGATTTCCGCTGGCGAGTTCCGTATTTTTTTGTTGGCTTCATCATTTAAAGCTTTTTCTTTCTTTTTGCGCAACCAGATTGATAAATAGGTTTCATCAATCCAAAATTATCACGAAAATCAAAATTTTAATATTGTAGAAGCATGTAAACCAGTTTAAAAAACATCACTATTGAGTATAGTTAAGTGCTCTGCATTTTCATCATCAAATATTGTCATTTGTCAGCAGTCTACAGCGTTACATATATGTTAAGAATAAGCTTATAGCTCTTATTGACACTAATCATTTATAAGAGACTGGGTCTCTATCTTTTAAGGAATTGGTAACTAATTTTAAACCATAGTTTCTACTACAGAATGGCAACAAGGAAATGATAACGTCGGATCAATGGGCTTTTCGCATTGTGATTGGCTGTTGACTATCACTCATGGTTGCAAGAATTTGGGAAGTTATCGCGTTTATTGTGAATTAAAATAAAAATTTCAATAATTTTGTGCACGCCTGTCTGTGTTCTCGCGTAATCTCGTACTTGGTGTGATGAAACAATTGGTTCATTGATGGATTGTGTTTACATTTATTTCGTAAACAGCCACTGGAAAAGAGGAGATTTGTGTTTAAAAAAGAAATTAGGCGAAAATGTTTTCGAATTTTTAGATATTTATAAATGTAACAATAAAAATGAATGTTTTCTTTGCNCTTCCTCGAACAATAGCTTTTGTTTAAACAACGCCAATTGCTTTGGCGAAAAAGTTTGGTCACACAATCAATATAGGGTTATAAGAGGATTGATGGATAAAAGCTAGCGTCAAGCTCACTCCGCCCAGTTACCAATTCCTAAATTGACCAAATATCATAAGAGACTTCGCGATTATGTATTCTTGTTGCATTCATTTAAGCCGTTCGTGTAAGAATTGCATCAAGTAAAATTTAGCTTCGAATTTGATTAGTGAAATGTTTACATGAGTTTGGTTGTATAAAGAAAATCAGTATTTAAAAGAAACTGTAATATTGAGAACTTTTAACTAATTTTGAGGCCCATGCCTATTGGGCTCAAATTTTAAGCGATAATCAGGTCCTGATTGCCCGTATACCACGGCGCCATATGCCAGACTTGAAAGTTTTTAATCCATTTAAAAATCAGAAGAGAAACTGACGTACTTTCATCTCCTATGACTCTCCCCATGCTAATGGTGAAAGCATGCAGAGTGTTGCCATAGGTAAAGAGTTATGCTTTACGCCCCCTGCAGCCCATTTTGATTGCCAATATCACGCCTATATAACCGGATACACGCCATATTTTCTATCTGCAGAATATTCATTTAGTAAGAAGGGGATGCTTGAATTTTTATTACTACTATATTTTAATAAAAGGAACGAACGTAACACTTTTTCTAATATCATCAAAAAATGGATTGAAATTAACAACTTTTAACGATAATTGATAATAGAATAAGATATATTACAAACAAATAATTAAAAATCTTATAATTTGCTATTTACTTTTGAAGTTATACTTCTTATGCGACTTCCAACAAGGTTGCGTTCAACGTTTAACGCTACATTTTTATTAGCCGGGAAGCCTGCTGGAAGCCACACATCGAAATGCTGACTGGGCGAGTGCTCAGCAGAATTAACATTCTGAAATGATTAGCAGGATCAATTTGGGGATGTGCAAGATCGACTCTTAACTTGACCTTTAAAACTTTTATCCTGCCCCTGATAACTTACTGCTGCGAATCACTCATAACATGCAGGGAGAGCTCTCTTAAGGGCTTAGAAGTAATTCAAAATTGGGCTTTGAGAGTAGTGACTGGTGCGGTTAAAACAACCCCAATTGAAGCCATGCTACTCTTGACAAATAACAGACCTATTCAAGCCATTATTGAAGAACGGACCTTGCTCCTATTCGACAAACTCATTAGAAGTGAAAACCTCTTTTGGACTAATTATCAGGCTAAACAGAGTAACCTGAAAACGCAACTTGGATTCATTCAAAAGGTTCAGTCTTTGAAAGAAAAATTTGAATTTTGCAATGTGATAAAAAATAACTTAAAACCACAAAATCCTATCGAATCAGAAGAAATTATATCAAACCTAAATCTTAAAAATTATATTATAAAGAAACAAACAGCACCTGAAATTTTAAAATCCTTTGCATTGGAGACCATACATGCTGAGTACCCAGAACATCAATGGCTACACGTTTATACAGATGGCTCTTACTCTGACTTGCAAATGGCTGCTGGATCTGGTGTTTTCTCTGATCTCTTTTCCTTCTACGCATCTGCCGGGAAATACAAAACGGCTTTCGATGGCGAAGTACATGCTATTTATATTGCATTGAAACAACTGTTGGCCATCCATTCAAAATTTGGAAAAGTCGTATTGCTGTCAGATTCCTATGCTGCAATCCAGGCGATCGGCTCACAGGGAGACACTTTGTCGGATGAAGTGCTTCAGTTTCGAAGATTTATCAGACTTTTGGCACTAAAAAACAAAAGAGTAGTCATCCAGTGGATACCCAGCCACTGTAACATCTATGGTAACGAGAAAGCTGACTTTCTTGCTCGCAAGGGAACACAAATCCTTCAACCAAGTTGCTCTGGATTGTCATACCATTCCATAAAACTACATATAAAAAACATAATGAAACTGAATGCCTCTGCTGACCTACGAGAAAGCATAAGGAATAAGAACTGGAGTGAGGCAGATATTGAGGCAGTGCCAGATAAGCCTCGCCGAGATGCAGTAGCCACCTTTAGACTCCTAACAGGTCGGGATTGTCTGGGAGAACACTAGGTATTTATGACCACCCTCAGTGTCAACTGTGTGGTTCTGGAGCTCTAATGAATAGAGAGCACCTCCATTGCTGTAGGAGGCTCCACGGACTTGAATCGGAGACAGCAAGATGTTGGCGTGCGAGAGAGCTTTTGGGAAGATGACTTCGGTCTTTTGCTATTTTCTATTTTTATTGTTCTTCTGTGTTATTGTTTGTATTCCCTGCCATTGGGGAACAAAAAAAAATTTTTTTGTAGTGCTGCCATCTAGACTTATTCTTCCTACTTACTTTTAAAGAAAGCCCTAATTTCTGACTGTGAAATGATTACTAATTTTATAATATAACTTAAAGTTTTAATTATACAGTAGAGTCCCGATAATCCGAGCCCCGGTTATCCAAGTTTCCGCTTTAACTGAGCTATAAAATATTTTAAGGATTTCTTTGTTCTAGTTCATTTTTCATTTTTAAAAATACCACCGAAAAATAAATCTGAATTTTATCTTCCAAACACTCGGGAAAACAAAATCTAACAACTCTATCCCATATAATGATCGTTAATATCGTCAATAATGAAAATGAACCCAGCGAAGATGATTAAGACAGTGACGATGAAAATCAACATTTAAAAATCACTCACGCAGATGGACTAAAAGCTGTCGAAAATGCTACTGAATACATAGAACAACAAAAAGAGGCGACACCAGCCTTCTTGTTATCCCTATAAAATGGCGAAACATTGCTGCAGAAAAGCACGAAAGTTATGTAAAACAAAAAAAACGATTAAGAACTTTTTTTAAGTAAAAACTCTTTAATTCTCGCAAAGTATACTTTTTAAGTTTTTTCAAGTAAGTTTTTTAATAATAATAGGAATTGTAAGTGGTATACTCGTATACATTTTATATTTCTTAAATATATTACATTTATACCAACTCTTTTCCTTTCTTTTTTTATACTCTTCGTTTTAACCGAGTTTTTCAGTTATCCGAGTTAGTCGTGGTCCACATTAACTCGGATAATCGGGACTCTACTGTATAATTAACGAGTAGTGCATATTATTAAATAAAAATATAATTAATGCGTAATGTATATTAATAAATAAAAATATAATTAATACTTAAAAATATAATTTATAGTTCTATACACCTTATTTTTATTCAAGTTTTCTGTGTTTTCAATTTTGATGCCCAGATAGTAGATATGTTTAATTTTTTACCTTTTGATTAACTTCATAATTTTTTTTAGTTAAAAATAAAATATTTTTTATGTTTTTAAATAAAACAATTTTAAAGTGCTTTCCTGACCATTAAAACTAAATTATAAATATGAACCAGCACATAAGAAATTATGAATAGCTTTTGACTTTAATGTTTTTATTTTTAAGCTCCATTTTTGCCTTTTTCTGTCATGAATTTATTGGTGTTGAAAATGAAAGCTTTTTCGAAAACATGAAGAGGAATGTACTTGTTAATTTTAACTATTAAACGCAAAGATATAATTTTTCTAAGTACAATAAAGATTAACTCAAGTTTTAACTGTGTTTTGCAATTTTGACTATTTTATTTATATTCATTTTGTATATTTTGATTCATTACTTTCATATCTAATTTATAGAAATTATGCTTTTTTAAAGTTGTTAATTTTAAAATATTTTTAAATCATATTAATTTCAATGGCAAAAATAAACCTAGATAACATCATCACCAAATTACCGATAATTATGTTTTTGTATAAATGTCTCTGATTTTAAGCTCCGTTTCTATCTTCTGCTATCATCTAAACTATAACTAAAAAATTTATTTTGTTCTAAAATATGAAAGTTAATTGTTTAATTGTAACTGTTTAATTTTAAATCTATCCTATGACGCAGCAAGTATAAATTATAGTACTTTGATTTTAATTTTGGTGGTTAAACAGGTGTATAGGCGTCGGTACATAACGAAAAGCACTCGAAAGTACAATAACTTAATATTGTGTTGTATTGTAGTGCCTCGCTCTTTGTATTGTGAGTTAACATTAGGGCATACTCTATACTATATTGTTAATTTTAGATTTTATAATACTTAATGTAATTTTGAAATGTAGTTAATTATTGATAAAATTATTTCTGTTGATTGAGGGTAATTTTTATCAGCCTGTGAAATTGATAAAAATATCGCATTAATTTTCCAAGCATTAATAATCGCATGAATTTCGCAATGTTGAAACTGAATTGTAGTGGAAGCGAGTTCGAATTCCACCATAAGTGACGATTAAAACTTGTTCATTTTTAAAATAGGAAAGCAAACAAAAACTTATAATGCTTTGATGAAGTTACCAATGTTTTTAAGTTTTAGCTTTTCTTATTTTATTTGTCCCGCAGTGGACTGATCGTTAAGACACGGTTCCCAGCAGATCACCGAAGTCAATCATCACTGGCTGCGGTCAGTGTGCGGGTGGGTGACCACTTGGATCAGCCTGCGTAGGGACCGAGGGTGTGCGGTATGGGTTCTCGTTAATATGTTCTACCGTAAAGTGCTCGACTTCGCGCGCAGGTCATCGGGCTACCGGCGGGGGAGCCCTCCCCTCCGCAGAGAATCAAAATTGTGATGGAATGTTTTCGGATCATCCTCAGGGATGTTTCCCAGACCTTCGCCAATAGCCCATTGTGCAGCTCTAGTGCGACGTAAATGAACAACAACAAAAATCTTATTTTATTTCCTGCATTTGTGATTACTTCAAGTAAAAATTATTATTTCAAGCATTGTTTATTTATGCTCCTCAAAAGTTTTTGATTAAATATAATTATTAAATTATACTAATTTGATTAGCATAGATTACAATGCAATCAATATACCCAAAGTTTAATTGCCTTTAATTTTATTATAATTTATTTATTTAACTATAAAACGTATTATCTATTGATCATTATTTTGCGAAAGAAAGAAAAAGATTGAATGTTAGAGTGCTTAATATATGTTATATATTTTGAGAAAATGTTTTTTCTTCTTTCAATTTTAAATAAAATATATTTTTAATCATGAGATAAGTAATAATAATGTGTGTAATTTTGCAAAAAATTTTGTTTTACGCATTGCATATTACGTCTTGAACAACCAGTCCATATCGGAGTTGCGGCAATTAGTTTTTAAATCCGAAACTTTTTATCTTTGAACCCAATTTAAAAGATTATATAAAGTAATATTGGAATACGTATTGGGAGTCAACATCGCGCGCAAGCGCGTGAAAGTAAGTGTGAACTCGAGTGAAACTAACCCACATTTGCGTTATATGAAACGAGAAACCACCCACTGTTAGCCCACCAAATGCAAGGGATTTCTAATGTCTGCTTCGGAGGATGTTTTACATTAATCAATGGACAATGCGAGTAGGAAGTTGCACACAAATTAAACAGTCATCACCGATTAATTCTACCCTGGGTCATCTCCATTTTTATAGACAATTTATTTTTTTGTTCTTGTAGAACAGTTAATTATCTCATTAGTATAGACATGAACAAATTTTAAGAATGTGCATTTATTTGCGAGTGCGATAGTGTGGGTTTCTCGATCCTGATTGGTTGTTAAAACGTGGCATTTGTTTACGTTATCAACTGTTCTTTCCATTCTAATTCGAGTTAGCCATGTCGGAAAGTACCAATTTCTTTCACAAAGATTCTTTCTCAAACGTTTCAATTCTTTCACGATAAATTTCTTATTTAAAACAATGAGAGGTATAAAGCCGCGTAGAACATATACAAACTAATTATGCAATGAAGTTGCCAGGTACCCGAAACAAAATATATCACGTTTACAACAAAAATAAGAAAGAAATTTAATTAAAGAAACTTAATAAAAAACTAATGAATTTAAATGAAAAACGTGGAAGAGAAATAATTACCTATTAAAAAATTCGATGTGCGATAGGGCGTTGTATTTAAATTACTTCACGTTAATGAACATTCTAACTTATGTGGAGAGACTTAGCTTGACTTAAACACGCCATCTTGTTTATGAAACATGAGCTGACACTGAGGTCATAGGTCAAACATCTATGCATCAGTGATTGTCTTCTTCTCGAGTTGCAAATACCTAATTATTAAGGCCCGGATTTTGATGACATTTGCATTTTCGGACATTTTTTGTCCTTTAGAGGATTTTTCAGATTTATAGGGTATTTTTTTAAAATTTTGGGGCCTATTTTGCATTTTAAAGCATTTTTTAAAGGTTTATGTTAATTTTTTCCAATTTTTATTATTTTTGGGGTATTTTTATTACATGAAATGCAAGATTTGTCTCATAATTTTACATTTCATATTGTAACTCTCAAAGAATGTTTCAAAACATTTGCTCCTAGTCAGCTTTGCCCCCTTAACCAGTAATCACACGATGGGGTACCTGGTTGGATGCATGCGTATACTACAGTGAAAATTTTAAGATAGTGAAGTCCATCGTCAGTAGTTTAGATTCAGAAGATGCTGCATCAATTAAGATAGCGCTAAACGTGTTCGCTTCTGATAAAATTGTAGGAAATTTAGCATTTATCAAGTCTAACTTTTCTATTGTGTCCTCGACAATTACAAGCTTGGAGAAACAAGAACTGGAATTTAGCAATGCAATAAATTATATTGATGTAGTGAGTCGAGTGTTGCAAAAAGCAAGGGCAAAAATAGGACAAAGTGTAGCAGCTAAATTGAACAAAGTTTTGGAGAAGAACACTGGCTTCCAAACAATGAAGAAAATCTCTAGGATACTAACAGGTGAAGCAACAACTTTTCAAATTGAAGAAGAATTGTCAGTAAGTGAGACCGTCTTTTTCAAGTACGCACCATTAACATCAGTAGACATTGAAAGAAGCTTCTCCAGGTATAAAAATTTACTTTCAGACAAGAGACACTCTCGTTTACATTTCAAAATATCGAAAAACATTTTATAATCCAATGTAATTCTGATATTTAGTAACATTATTAGATGTAAGTTGTTATATTCATTAAAGTTTCTATACAAAATGAAAATGTTTTGGAGTCAATATATTTTCCTTTTTT